GTTTCATCGACAGATAACTTCTCAAAAATCAACTTCACTGGCACATTATTAGAAAATGGTTCTTGATATTTTTATTATTCAGGATGCAAAGGAACCCTAACCTGCCTATAATTTTAAAAATACAAATGTGCATGGTAAAATATATTATGCTTGTGACAGCAAAGTGATAATTGTTGCATGTGACAATGCATGTACAAGACTATACTAGTCAGGCTCATTGTCTCCTATCAAACAAGCAATAAACTGCACTACTGATTGTTTTTCTAGTTGTTGAAACTACACTTAGCACATGGTAGAACTAATTTTAAGAAGAGTTGTCTATAGGATGTTCATCAACAAGATAGTACATGCCCACTCAAACATTGGGATCACTGTACATTCTTATGAGTGAGAACAGCAACATTTTGTGCATTCATTATTTATGCAGTCAGACTGCATTTATTACTCAGTATTAAAATTTTGGCAAAAATAAATGGTGTACAGTATAATAGTACCAGCACACTGTTCACTGGGTTAGTTGGTAGTCGGTTGCAATCGTACGATGGCACACTTAATCGAAGGATAGTGGAAAAAAGAACAGAGTTCTTTATGTAGCAGTGATGGCTCTAAATTCCATTTTTATAACACAACTTTCATACTGATTTTGTGCGAGCCAATTTTTATTGACATGATCGCAATGGCGACACAGTGTTCATACATCATGTACAGTCATGCAGATACTAAAAAGCTCAATGCGAGTGGACGTTTCTCTCTGAGGAGCGCTTGACTGGTGGCTTACGTTCAAACTAGCGCTGACATAAAGACTTGCCGATGTGGAGCAGATGGGGGGAGCTGGGGAGCCCATCAATGCAAACTGATGTTATCATCTGCTATTTCGAGAATCCTGTCCCCTTCCAAACAGACCACAATAACACAGGCGCAAATGAAAACGGCACTTCGCGCTGATGGACTCCCACTATCTGCTCCACATTGACAAGTCGCGACATCAGCGCTAGTTCACACGTAAGCAACCAGTCAAGCACTTCTCAGAAAAAAATGCTCCCTCACGTGGAGCTACTTAGTATCTGCACAACTGTACATTCCTGTTCACTGTCCATGCTTCGTGTGCACTCTTTTGCCATCAGGATATAATTAATTATCACTTAAATCAAATTTATATTACAATAGTCATTTTTAACTTTTAGCTCATTTATCCATAAAAAAAGGAGGACTGGAATTCTTTTCCTGTCCACTGCAAAATATCGCTAATTTTGAACTGTTATTTTAAAATAACACGACGAGAGAATATTTGTATGGATAACTTGATTTTTAAGGACTTGGGAAGGCAACAGAATACCTGCCTGTGCCCTGCAAATTATAAACACTAAAAAGTTTCTCCTCTACAAAGCTACAAGTGATGGATTGAACTTACTGTGTTTCAGCACCTCTCAGATCTGGTTGAGGAAGCCACTGGAAATCAACTAACCTCAGTTTTTTTTCTTTTTTTTTTTGACGAGTTTGAGCAGGTTGCAATGAATGCCATTCAGAAGGTGTTGCCAGACACAAAGCGCCACGGGCGCTTGTTACACCTGCAACAGGCCATCTACAAGCACATGCAAAAGTACAAGCTCCAACCCCGGTATACCCACGACAAAAGCTTTGCGACGTCTGTCCTGATGTTGACACCGCTAGCTCTTCTAACGTACGAGAGGATCAGAGAGGTGAGGCTGACCTTTGCCCATTTGACTTCTAGAATTAAGTGATATTATAAAAAAATAAAAGCCAATTGATTCCTCAATCTGGTGGGTTGACAGAAGAAATTTATTTATACAAGTTTAACTTGATGTGTCTATTGTTAACTGATAAAAATACTACTAATGACCACATTCCTTTTAGAAGTTTGCTGAGCAAAGCAGGCACACATCTTTTACAAGGTCAGTATAGCGAGTTCCAATATATGCATGTACTCGCCTGCCTTCTCTGCAGTTCTCTGTGCATGCTCGGGTGTTAAGGGAAAAAAGCAGCGAACGGCAGTCTGGACACTGCGATATACATTTCACTGTTCTAGCTGCAAACGAGCACAAAAGAATGGTCAAGCCAGAAGAAAAAATTCAAAGACCACGAAGTAGTTTTAATATTTGTCTTGCTTTTGCTGCACTATAGTCATGCAGTTTACCCAAAAAAATAATTTTTCTTTTCAACAAATTGCTTCAGAGAGAACAAATCTCACAACAGTTGTGAGGGGGTCCCTTGTCTGTCCTTTTTGCTTTACCCTTCCTTAACAGCAGTATCATTACAATCGTGCTCGTTCAGTCCTAAAGCGATTTATCTTTCATATAAATGCATATACTCTCCGTTTTTCAAGTGTTGTAATTCCTGTTAATCTGCGCAGTGGAAAATTGTGTAGCAACATATAGTGACAAAAGATCATAGTATTAATTTGTTTAATAAAAATAGAAGTTTGACGTGAATTGCCGTGTACGCTGAATTGTAAGGTTCAATACCTCAGACAACAATATTGGGTCTTCTTTGTTTACAAACACGAGCTGTCTTTTGACAGCTGTGCAAATTCCAGTTCCTTCGTTTTGATATGCCAGTGCATTTTATGTCACCAATGCAAGGCCATTTAAGTGCTGCACAAATGACCACTTCGCAATTTTGCAAACTCCCTCTGCTGTGCTATTCAGCTTTATAGAGGTAACCAGTTGGCTTGCAACATATTACAAAACTCAACTTATCTAGGGTTTCCAGACCCCCTCAGTGATCATAAGAAGTGAAATGTTTCATTGATGTCCCCAGGAGCCTTTATAGAGTGGAAATTGTTCGCTGTAAGTGTTGACGTTACAGCCCTGTGAACCATACCAGTAAAGCTGGAACTTCACAAAGACAGAAATTCTAGGGCTCTACTTTGCGGCATTTAACATGACAATCTCTAAGGGTGCCATGGGCTTTAGACATATCTGAGGATGTTAACTAGTATGTATTGTTTTAGTAAATAGACATTTGTTAATGACAAACATCTTTTTTTAGGTGTACTGCATCAGCTGTGTGGCAGATGCTCCAGCAAGGGCTGCTATGCAGAATGTCCTGCAATTCAATGGATATTATGGCTGCCCATGGTGCCTTCACCCTGGAGTTTGCGTTAATGATAAAGCAATGAAACATTAATGCAACGTTTCCAGGGCTTCAATGGTCTTATTTACTTTTATTCATGCAGGGTGCATAAAGTATACCGTCAGCGCAGGAGTCTTCAAAGACCGGACAGAGCAGGGAATATCAAGGGACATGTTGGCTGCGGCGACAACTCAGCGCACAGTCCGGGGTATTAAGGGACCCTCGCCCCTCTTGAATGTACCAGGGTTTGTCTGGGGTTTCACCCCTGACTACAAGCATTGCGCATTGCTTGGCGTTGCTCGCCAATTCGCTGAGCTATGGTTCACAGGGGTTGGAGAGGACTGCTACATTGGGGACCCGACGCGGCAGACAGTCGTGAAACAACGACTATGTGGCTTGAAGCCACCTCAGTGCTTCAATCGCCCACCGCGAGCCCTTAAGCTCAGAAAGTACTGGAAGGCCGCTGAGTGGCAGTGCTGGATTTTTTTATTACTGCCTGCCATGCTTAAAGCGTGTGCTGCCAAAAGAGTTTTACAAGCATTTCGAACTCTTTACTTCAGCATTGTATTTGCTGTGCAAAACACATGTAACAGTAGAGGATGTTGACATGAGCACATCAAAATTAATAGTGTTTGTTGTCATGATGGAGTGCCTCTAAGGTGAGGCACAAATGACTTCGAATGTGCATACACTCCTACACCTTCCTAAAGCAGTTCTCCTCTATGGCCCGTTATGGGCCTTGTCCTGCTTTGCTTACGAATCAAACATAGGCCATCTGCTAAAGCTGGTGTCGTCATCAAATGGGGTACCATTTCAGATTCTGTTGCATACCCTACTTCGCAACAGTTCTTTTTCAATAAGGAGTAGGGCCTCCGACGAGGTCCAAGAGTACCTCTTCGCAAAAAAGCAACGAAATTAACATGGCTTTCAGCTTCTAGGTAAGCCGAGACAGGTGCCTGAGAATGTCTGTGCACACTTTAGTGAGCTGACCTCGGGGAGTGTGAAAGAGGTTGTAGAGTATGACAGAGAGCACATAGATGGCCACACTGTGCACAGCACTCGCTACCGACTCCCATCGAAACGAGAATCGACTGCTTTGAGGCTAGGGGGTCAGTACGTGAGAGCAGAGAGGATTCTGTCTGCCACCGATGTGGATGGGGGCCAAAAGGTGTATGTTGTGTCAAAGGTCTACAATGTGACCGACTTTAAAGGTGCGAATCACCTGACAGTCGCTCAGAAGCGAGTTACAGAAAGGTTGAACGAGCTTTGTCAACCTTTTCATCCATGTATGTATTTAGACCTCAGTGTGAGTGTAATTTTTGCTGAACTTTGTAATAGGCATGAATGGTCGTAACTCTCCTAAGCAGGATTCTTCAGGACTGAATGAGCTGCTTAAGTGGCCATGCAATGCTTTTCAAACTTCCAGAATAATTTAGGAATGTGTTCCTTGGCTGTTCTCGTGCTTCCGGTCGCTAGTTTTCTTTCTCTAAACATAACTAAATTGAAGAGTAGTGCCTCTCAACTTTCACTCAGTTTTCCACATCTACCTCTGTATTGACATCATCATAACCCGTTACTGTCCGGTCATGTTCTGTTCCTGGCACCCTCGGCGAGTGCTGTGCTGCTGAGAGGATTCCCCTACTGGGTTCTCACGATTCTCTGCGAGCAATATGGCGACCGGGAGGAATGGTTCTAGTGCTGCAGGAATGCAGTAAGGCAGCAGGACTTGTTTCTAAAGCAAACGAGGCATCAGTAGGGAAGAGTCGGGAGGTTTGAGACGGTTGGAGGAATAGGACAGCTGGTTTTTCTCTCCAGGAGTTAGTTCAAACACGTTCACCGGCTGCTCACAAGATGGCGCTAGCATACCAATAGCCTGGCTGTAATGGTGGCCGTCTTCACCGAACGGAGCTTTCTCTGACTACAACTCTCGTTTTTCACGTGTCAAAAGTAAGTATCCGCTTACTCAATTACACCTCCCTCAGTTTTAAACCACCCTGCCTATGCTGATACCAATTTTTCTTCGCAAACACGCGTTAGGGTCGTGCTTCATGCAATAACAAGTTTAGCCCTAACAAGAGAATTTTCGCCATTGAATGTATTTTTCGTTGGGCGAACCACCTGGGGAGGAATGGGACATTTGAGTCGCGGGTGGAATGGGGCAGTGTCCCATTCCTCCCCACCATACGGCTGGTGCTGTGTCTAGCGAATAAGCTTCAATGCTGCGCCGCTTTAGTTCCGAAAGCAGTTATTTTTTTATTTGTTATTTAAAGTGTACAAATGCTTGGTGCCGTGATGTTAAATACCAGACAGGCTGTTTCTGCGACACTTGACGTTAAGACGCGCTAAACCAACGGGGCATCATAAAATGCAATGTTTCTCCACTAAAAAGGTGTGATTACTGTACACATTTGCGAGAAACCCGGAATAAGCACGTGAATAATAGGCCGCAATATGAGTGCTGCTACGTGCATGCAAGGATGTTAAGCGTGCTGCTTGGTGTGCGTGAATATTTAAATTTGCCAATTTTTGATCCATTTCCATTTTCAGGAAGATGCCGCGGGTTTACAAGAGGAAGCATCCCGACAGAGCTCAAACATCGAACAATTTGATCCTGGATGCTGTGAGATTGGTGTGCGATGAAAAGAAAAGTATAAGAGACGTAGCAGAAGCTTTTGAAATATCAAAATCATTGCTTGGCCGAGCAGTGAAGAAGTACAGAGAATGCGGTGACACAGGTGGCATCATGTTCAAGTCCAATTTGGTCTGCGGAATGGTCTTCACAACAGAAGATGAAGTACTCTTGAAAGAATATTTGCTGAAAGCAAGCAAAATGCATTATGGGCTTACGAGAATGCAAGTTCGTTCACTGGCATACGAGTTTGCAACAGCCTTAAAGAGGAAGTGCCCGGCGTCATGGGAACAGAAGAAGGTAGCTGGAAGAGACTGGTTTATGGGCTTTATGGACCGCCATCCCGAGCTATCGCTTCGATCGCCAGAAGCGACCAGTCTGGGTCGGGCAACAAGCTTCAATAAGAACAACGTCGATGCTTTCCTTTCAAACCTGAAAAGTGTCTACGACCAATACAAGCTAACTCCGGACCGCATCTACAATTGTGATGAAACGGGCTTCACAACTGCACACAACCCACCAAAGGTAGTAGCAGCACGTGGAGAAAAGCAAATCGGTCAGATTACATCCGCAGAACGCGGCGAACTGGTGACTGTTTTGTGCACTGTCAATGCCATCGGAAACGCCCTGCCACCAGTGTTCATTTTCCCACGCGTGATGTTTAAAGATTTTTTTCTGTAAGGCGCCCCGGCAGGAAGCCTCGGTTCGGCAAGCAAGTCGGGCTGGATGTCGAGCGAACTGTTTTTGCTGGCGTTAGAGCACACTGTGAGACATACGAAGTGCTCGAAGGAGGAGCCAATTCTCTTAATACTCGACAATCATGAAAGCCATGTGAGCATCAACACCATCAACAAGGCCAAAGAGAGCGGAGTCATCCTGCTGACCTTTCCCCCACACTGTAGCCACCGCCTGCAGCCACTTGATGTGTCCGTGTACGGACCATTTAAATCTCGGTACAACGCTGCTTGCAATGATTGGCTCATAAATAACCCCGGGAAGACCATCTCCATCCACAATGTTGCACAACTAGTTGGATCCGCCTACGTATTAACGGTGACACAAAAGAACATAATCTCGGGCTTTCAGAAAACTGGAATTTGGCCTTTCAATAGCGAGCCCTTCACTTCGGATGACTACATGATGTCATCAGTCACTGACAGACCCTTAACGTCCGTAAGCGGAGAGGTGTCACGACAGACGGCCACCATCACCGAGAAAACGGACAGCGCAAGCCGACTGGAAAGTGATTTGAACTTTGAGACAAACGGCCATGGAGCTAGCAACGTCTCTACAGATGTCTTCCCACCTACTGTCGCCAACGCAGCCTCGACGTCAACTGCATCTCCCAGCCGGATTGTTCCGAGCGACCTAACGCCCTACCCTAAGGCTGCACCGCGTAAGACAGGGCAAAAAGGAAGGAAGAAAGGTAGGACAAAAGTCATTACGGATACACCCGAGAAGCATGCGATTGAACAAGAAGCTGCAGAGAGGGTGGCACGACAGAGTCTGAAAAAAAGAGCGCTTATCACAGCTAAGACTGTCGCCACTACCCGCCCAAAAAAGAAACGGCGACTTCAGAAGGAGTTCAGTTCTTCAAGGGAAGACGACACTGTTGCCATTGCATTTGATGATTCAGACAGTGACATGTCAGGTTCCGATAATGAGAGGCGGGACATTTCTGAGGCCGATTGCCCAAATAAAACTTTTCAAGTGACAAAAGGCGATTTTGTCCTTGTCAGATTTGGTAAGAAAAAATCTGACGTTTATTACACGGGTAGAGTCGAAAGTAGTGACAATATTGACGTCAGTGTCCAGTTCCTTCAAAAGAAAGAGGAGAGCTCAAAGTTTTACTTTCCTCTGCAGAAAGATATAGGGACTGTGCCAATAACGAATATTGTGAAGAAGCTGCCAGCGCCAAAAACTATTGGGGGAATGAAGCGCCTGCAAGCTTGCTTCAAGTTTGATGTGGAACTATCGGCTTTTAATGTCCGCTGAAGACGTTGGGACCGATATTTTACTGGCGTCCCATTCCTCCCAAAGGATGTCCCACTCCACCCGAAGGGACGGGTGGAATGGGACAGATTTTAGCTGTTGGAAACTATTTTTTTGCAGTTGCTCTAGAAGTGGCAGTAACCTGTGTTTCACAGAATTTGCGCAGCTTGTTTCGACTTGTACTATAATCCATCAACTATCTTTTTGCGTTCAAAATAAACAAAACTAAAAATGCATTTGTGAAAAGCGTCCCATTCCTCCCGACTCTCCCCTATGTGGCGCAAACCTCCCCCCCCCCCCCCTTCCCGACAAACGGAAACGAAATTGTGAAACTAACTGTGCAGTCACACTCTTACTTGTTGAACATTGTCGGGAGGTTAAGCGATGCACCATTAGGTTGTTGCTACCTCACCATGCAGCTTGCCATCTTTTTGAACCAAACCGTGATAACATCAAATCGCTGCAGATGTCATCGCTGTGGAGCACGGTTCCACATCAGAGAATAGTCTGCACTTTGCTTCACGATTAAAGCAGCAGAATTGCAGTGTTTCGAAGAAAGATGTCATGTTTTTTCATAGTCTGGTTGTGGTAAACCAAACGAAAGAAAGCCATTGTGTGGACCCTTCAATAGTTGTACAGTTCTCCACAGCGCGTCTGTGCCTCCCCTACGGGGAGGCACAGACGCGCCGTGGTGGGCCCACGCTGAGGTGAGGAGAGACGAGGTGAAAACAATATTTACTGTATAATAATAGGAGTCGGTGCTGGTGCCGCCCGCAGCTCACCGACCGTCGTGGCGTTCTGAAGAGGTGGTGTCCTGGGCTGTCCGTCACTGCGCTAGTGCATGGGCGAGTTGGCTCCGGTGCTCACAGAGTTCTGGGGCTTGGAGCGCTGACGCCAGCGGATGGCCTTGCAATTGAGGTGATCCGGGCTTCATAGGGCTCGGAGAGTTCGGGGACTTGGGGCGCTGACGCCAGCGGGTGGCCGCTGTGTTTCTCTGGTCGGGCTCACAGGGTTCCAGGGCTTGAAGTGCTGACGCTAGCGAATGACCTTGCAGTTGAGGCAACGAGCTTCTCAGGGCTTGGGGGCCTGGGGCGCTGACGCCAGCGGGAGGCCTTTCGGTTGTGCTTCTCTGGTGCGTTGCTTCCCGCGCTCTGCAGCACGCTCCCTGGCACTTTTCTCGGCGCGTCTTCCCACTCGGACTCGCTTCCTCCCGACCTGTCCCAACTTGTTTTCCATGTACGGTTTCTCCGTTCCCCCTCTATTTTTTAGTCTTCTCCCCTTCCCCCTGTCCCCCGAGCCGTCACTTTTTGCGCCATCCTAAATGGCCTGCCCGCGTCACATGCCCTGTACCTTGACCCCCCGAACGTCACAAGACCACGTGGTTTGACGAGATGTGGCCATGACTCTGATGACACGAGACCAATGTGGCCTGACGCAACCGAAGTTTCAGTTTCGGTATCTGCTAATGTTTAAATTAAGATTACACAAATAATATTACACATTTCGCGAATTCGAAGCCGTAGAGCTGTTTAGTAGTGCTTTGGGAAATAAAATTGCAAATAAGCCTAAAATTTTTGGAATTGAGCGGAGTTTCCCTTTAAAAATATGTTTGTGAATACCGATTTCTCCTCTTCTTACAATGTTTTTAACTTATGAGCTTCTTAGCTAAGTTGTCGTAACCTAAGAAGCTCTTCGTGAATCTAGGCTCAGGATGGGGCATTCGCTGACCTCGTGATCCCTGAATGGGTTAATGCTTGTGTTACCTTCCCAATGTTTTTTTGTTTTGTTTTTTGTCTAAACGAGGGCCTTTATGAGCAAGACAAAGTTTAATTTTGTTATCTTCATAGTTTTCTTTTTGCACGCATGTACAACAAATTCGGGGCCACGAAAATCAGGGAGGAAATGCGTTAAGAAAGTAAAGTGTCTCTCCCTCCCTCGTTTTACTTTGCACACATGTCCTCCAACCGCAAGGTCCGGGGCTGCGTCATTCGGGTAGGATGAATGTTCGCAGATCACAAAGTCCGCGTTGGGGTACTTCTAGGGGTGGGTGATCACTCAGTGTTATTTAAAATTCTATATTCACCCACAAAGTGGGGTGGCCGATGTCTCGGTGGTGGACGATGTCTCGGGGTATTACGGTATTCATAATCGTGTTCAAAAAAGGTTGAAACAACAAAATTTGTAGACAAATGTAAGGCATATAAGACAACAGGAAGCTTGCAGCAAATGCCTGCTCCATCTTAGGAGCTCCCTGCAGTGGGAGGATGCCATGGCACTTGCCAAATGCTTTCACGGTTACCTTTCAAGGTTACTGTCGTTCACCCATTTGCTACAATACTTGGATTGCTTAATATAAAACATATTCAACAGCCCAACTATTGTAGCAAATGGCCGAATGACGCTTACAGCGCTACCACCACGTGTACTAGAAGTACTCATATCGACAACTAGGCCAGCGAAAGTTTGCGCTGAACGACCTCCAGTCACAGCTTAGAGACGATCACGGGAGTTTCATGAGTATCTACAACGACCCATCTCCTACAGCGACTGCAGCCTGCTACACCACATGGTGCAACAACTACTGACGAAAGCTTGGACTCAAGTTCTTCCGGATTCCAACCGACGAGGTACGCTGTTTCAGTTTTCTTCAGTAGCTTGTTTCTGATTGAAGGCTTGCGATAGCAGCACCCAACTGCTGCAGGGATAGTGAATATTAGTAATTCCACTTTAGTAAAAGGCTGCAATAGTTTCAAATCTCAAAACAAAATACTATGTATGTTTAGGATTACCCATTCAAGTACCTTGAGGCGTGAACTGTGTTTTGACACTATTAATACCAAGATTGTGAACAGATGTTGCCTGAAAGGAAGCATAAATTTGTTGCGGCGAGTTGTTTATTCCGGATAGTTGTCAGCAATGCATGGGTCTGTTTGCAAGAAGTCAAGCTCTCAAGCTGGAGATGAAGGAGGAGCTCCTGATACTGGTTTCTAACTATTTACTGTTTTATCTAGCATCCGCTCTTTTAAGTTTAAGCAATGAGATTATAAATTCATATAAGTTCATGATGGACACCCAATGCCACGGGAAGATGAGCTTTTGTACTTTCCTACCCCTATGCTAAGCAATGAGGTTTTCTAATTTCATTGCTTAGTTTCCTACGGTCATGATACATCATCATGGATCTTTATTTTGCCCTTACACCACCTATGCAATTAAAGTCTAAATAACTGCCTTTTTTGTAGTGGAGGCAATTCGAGGAGGAGGAAAAACATGAAAGGTGCATGTAGTTTGGAGTCTTTAAGAATAAAATACTCCAAACTGTGATTTAAAGAGTTGAAGTACCATTCTTTGAAAGGAGATACAAAACTATATGTTCACTTTTTTCATACAATCATGGTCAGGCATCCCATACAGGTAGACCAAAAAAAACAAGTACCGTAAAATACCTCAGAAGTGCTCTCTTCATTCTAGCGGCCCACTATTAACATTTCCCAAACTTGGGAATTCTGAAAATTATATGTTAAGCAACCAATTTGATTGGACAAGCACCCACGTCTAGATTAACCCATGGAGTTTTCAGTGAAAGTGGGATGGGCTACTCCCCCGGTATTTTACGGTAATTCAATTTCTTTCCTAGACTCACCTGCGGCTGGACGGCTCAAAGATTGTGAGTACACACCAAGAATCTCATGGAGGATCACATGCCTACAGAGATATAATGCAAAGTACATGAAAGGCACTGTTAAGGCTTAGCAAAGAAAAAAAAATCTCAAAAGGTTTCCAAAATGATGCCTTCAATGCCAGCGAAACTTTTTTTTTTTTTTTTTAATTGCTGTCTACACATGGAACATGCAAGGTTTAAACAATAAAAGGAGGTGGTCACAGGAATGGAGACAGTTTGTTATGAACCCATACTTCCATGGTCCAAAAGTCAATGTTTCTATCAGGGGTATTAAATTTACCAACTGTGAGGTCCCTGAAGACCTGGCTGTCAAATACCTACTATACTTCGTTTCAGCTTCCGTCCGAGCACAGCCAAAGTTCGTGACTTTGAGAAGAGTGTTCTTATGCGCCACAAAGTAGTCTGCAAAAGTTTTTTTTTTTTAACTGTTTTGTGCGTAAACATGCACAATATTCCAGGTGTGTACTGCTGAGAATGATTTGCTACTAAAGAAATTAAATATCTGAAGTTTATGTTTTCATTAATATATGTAAATGCATAAGATTTGGTGAAAACACGTACCGTGCACCCCAAACTTAACGCCGCCACTGGGTACTTAGTGTTAAATTTGTCACCAAAACGTTCGGGATGCGTTCCGAGGATGGGATAGAAATAGGGAACCCAAACATTCTTCAGATAGTTCAATCGGCCGCCGCAGGGACTGTCAGAAATGGCAAATGTCGTGGCAGCGTTAAGTTCTAGGCGCACAGTACATCTGCTGGCAACACGGCTGCAGCGCCCGGTTTTTCTGTGATTTCGTTCCGTAATAGCCGAGTTGCTTCAAAACATTCTTTCACAAAGGCACGTTTGGGCATCAGGCACAAGAGGTCGTGATGAATGTCTACTTTCGAATTCAGCAGGAGACTCCGGCTGCATCATACCGCGAAGTTGTCAAACGAACCTTCGTACTGACAGGTGTTGGACAGTCAACATCATCACATGGAAGCAGGCTTTGTTGGCGCTCTCTTGAAGCCAACAAAATCTGACGGTGCGTGTTTGCTGACATCCCTGAAGCGGCCCAAGAAGAGAATGTCTCCGGCAATTCCAGAAGCTCTGGACTCATTTCATCTTCAAGCACACCGAGGCATCATTCACGGCTACTTTTACAAGAACGAGGGCCCTCCTCTACTGAAAGTAAGAAGCGTTCCTCATTGAGTATTTCAGGAGTTTGCTGCGTGTCATTCAGGCTCAGCGACCGTGTGCTGTGCATTCTAAAGTCGCAAGCATACGAGCGAAGCCAAAGTTAGAAATACGAGACCGCGCACCGTGGGTTTGCTCGGACACGCGCTCGTGCAGTGCAAGCTATGTTCCAGACTGCATGCTCATGCCCGTAGCATTCACTCCGCTCGTACTTGTGGTCAAACGGAGCATAACAATGTAGCCGAAAATGATATGAATGAGTGCACTGAACCAGAAGAATTAAAAAAAAATGGTGCAAGAAGGATTCTTCCTTAAGTTTTATGTAGGCAACGTTTCGTTATTGGCTCAATGCTGAACTTTGTAAAGTTTGGTTTTGCCTCTCAATAGTCCTCTACGTACATAACCAGAATGAGAAACAGAAATGCTGTCTTTCAGTTCGCATAAATAAACAAGATCGCAGAAAGCTGAAAATATGCCAGAGGTGACAGGATGCAAAAGTTGGAGAACAAGTATCCATTAAAGATTCCGATCATGGAAAGAAACAGACAAACGCATTTTGCATCACATTGCACAAATAGAGTAAGCGGGACAACAGAATTGCTGTGAAATTAGCCCTCACTTCGATTTTAAAAGCAAAGGCTCATTTTGCAGCAATTTATTTGCAACTGCTACTGGTGGCACAATTTGCGCGAAGTGACGCAAACAAGACATGTTCAGCCTGTTCCTTTTTATGGTCGGGGCCCCTCATAGGTGTTTCTTTCTATCTTGTAGCTTTTGATACAGGTAACGTCATGTCCTCAAGCTTTTGCATCCTGTCATCAACGGAGGCATCATATTCTAGAATACTTCCGACTTTCTGTGATGCAGTTTATTTATGCACGCTGAAAAACAGCGTTTAAGTTTGTCTTTGAGGCCAGGTAGTAGACATAAAGATGTATCTCATGTCCAAATGTTTCCTAATCAGACCAACCTAAGTTTGTTGTCAAAATTGCACACTGTGAGTTTTGTTTTTCTAATTCCTTACGCAGGTCTTGGAGGATGTCCACGGCGATGCTTCTTTCACCAAGGTCAGCCAATCTACTCTGTGGAGAGCACTGCAGAACCTAGGCTTTCGTTTCAAGAAGCCAGGTCGGAACTCCACCCTGCTGGAGCGAACAGACCTTATTCTGTGGCGTGCAATGTACTTGTGGGCAATCAAAGCATACAGAGCAGAAGGGCGCCTCATCTATTTCCTGGATGAAACACGGGCAAATGCAGGGCACACTCACTCCAAAGTGTGGAAAGATACAACCGTGAAGACACCAAGAGACACCTACAATAGAGGCCTCAGTCTTGGACTCAGGAATCCATCCAGGAACAGAGGCCGCGTCATCATCCTACATGCTGGCAGTGAAGAGGGCTTCGTGCAAGGCGCAGCTGAAGTGTTCTGGGCCAAGAAGGGCACCGGTGACTATCACCCGGAAATGGACAGCAAGCGATTCGAGAAGTGGTTCACAGAAAATTTGCTGCCCAACATCAAGGCCCACAGCATGGTTGTCATGGACAACGCTTCTAGTCACTCCGTCAAGGTCTATGCCTCTCCGAGCAGCACGCTGAAGGAGGATGTGCAAGGCTGACTGACGCTGCGTGCAGTTACTTGGGACTCTACAATGTTGAAAGTAGAGCTGCTGAACCTTGTGAAAATGGAGAGTCAAAGGGCCGGAACTGGAGAAATGTCGCGTGGACACAATAGCAAAGCAGCATGGACACGTGGTTCTCCGTCTGCCGCCTTACCACTGCGACCTCAATCTGACTGAGCTAGTGTGGAGTCAAATTAAGGGCTACATCGCAAGCCAGAACGTCACCTTCAAGCTTGCGGATGTGGAAGCATTGACTCCAGTCGCTCTCCAGCAAGTGACTGCTGAGAACTGGTCAAGCTATGTACATCACGTCGCCAGAGTGGAAGAGCAAATGTGGATAAATCACGAACTTATGGACATCACCATCGATAGGTTCATAATTAAGACCGATGGAGACTCTAGCACAGACAGCTCGGATGACAAAGACATGGATTGTGACATACTGCAGTGGTGAGTCGCCACACGACTGAGCTTGGGCCAAGCGTCGGCACCTGCCGTTGGCACCTTGATGTTGGATCCCATCATATTACAAAACCTTATGGTTTTGTTACAGCAGCTTCCATGCCTGTCAATGACAGTTAAAACACCTGAGACCTCTCTTCATCCCTCCCACAGTTCAAGGGCTCGCCGAAGCAAATGTCAACGTGTGGCTAGAGGACATTCACTGCATTCAACAACTCTCGACTTGGGATGACGCCGCCGCCCGTCTCATCTCTGCAAGCAAGCATGCTCAGCATTCAAAGGAAAGCTCGCCGTCTCGAAGAAACCCATGAAACCAGGCAGGGTCGCCTTCAATGAGCTGCTGACTGTGCAAGCTTCTTTTGACTCACGGCTGTCTTAGCTCTACAATGCGGCGCACAGAAGAAAGCACGGCACTCCAACGGCAGGGTCTCAGGACAGCAAAAACCGAACCAAACTGGCAAAAGGCCAGTCTCTGAAAAAGACACCGGCACCGAACACAAGACAACAGCCCAGTGTTGCTAGAGCGGGCTCAAGCAACATTCCAGTTATATCAGGAGGGGCAGTTTCTAGCTACTGATTATTGACCATGCCCCCCCAGTTTTGCAACGAAAAGAGACACATTGAAAAGGCATGCTTGAAGCAGGCATGGACCATGAGAGGGCGCTGCAGGATGATTGGCATTAAGGTCTTGATATATTCACTTAAACATGCATGACGAAGCACCTCTCGTTGGAACGAAATGGTGCCTTTCAGTGTATTAATGCATTGTGCCACCATTTGCTTCCTAAAATCTGCACCATCATGCAGTCGGCACTTCAGAGAATGTTGCTACTTTAAGAAATACAAAGTGTGTCTTTTATCTAGGAACTTTACTCAGCATCAGTCAGGATACAACAGACGCTGAATCAAAAGATGAAGCAACAGTGAACTTGCACGCACTGAACCTTGTGCTAGTGATGCCACACAAGGTCTCGGTGACAGTGTGAATTCACGTCGGTGGTCCTGGGGCACTGAAGAAATAAACAATTATTATAAAGGTTACCAGTTATAGTACCTTTTTGTCAATTGAATTATAAGTTCCAAAAATGTGTAGATTTTCTACATGAATGTAATTGTAGGGTGCCTTTGCAACTGAAGAGGTAAGACAAGCTTGACTATGTGGTAGATTGCAAGCAATATTAAAGGAAAGGGAAAAGAACTTTTTGCGAAAAAGCCACACTCTACAAAATACGGCACCCATATTTTGGCAAAAAGCAGATTCTCAGCATGTGAGCACAGCATGACAGAAAATCATACCTGCCAAAAATGTATGCAATACGCTACCTGAACCTCACCAGAAATTTGGAGGGGCCAGGCAGTGGCTGTTTTTTTGATGCATCGGCAGGAAAAATTAGCGCGCCCGTGAGTGGTATCTTTACATTCTGTTGACGCCGTCAATCGCGGGGCCCATCTTCCAAGGACACGACGGAATGTACAAAAACCGGACGTGACAGAATGACCAAGTTCAAGCAGTGCAACGGCCGAAATTTCCTCTACAACGCTTTCGACTTGTACGTGCGCGCTTCCACAAATGTGTTGTAAACAAGAAAAACGTCTGGGCCACTACAATTGGCTGATACGCAGCGAAATCAGGGCACCCCTTTACCTGCCAATCACACTCAACGCAGAGAAGCTGGTAGAAAGGACTGCACCTCAAGCCCTGGTATATCCAGACAATACAGGAAAACATCAACAGCCGGGTCACTCAAGCACCGCGAAGACAGCTGCCAGTCCGATCAACCAGGAATGTAATGCCACCCCAGTTGAAGGACTATGCAGTGGAGTTTCACTGAGAAGTTTATTTTTAAAAGCAAGAAAGGAAATGTGGTGTCGAACAAGTAAACCAGATGGCGCCACATCCCCGCTCTCTGGTATGCGTTGGTAAAGAGCCCCAAAGGCGGTGCATAGAAGACAGATGCACGAGGCTTACATTATGTGAAATAAAGTTAATCACTTTGGTTCATTACCTGGTTGTCTCCTTCGGCATTAAGAAAAGACACTACAGCGCTTTCCAGTCTGGCAACGCACGCATGGCAGCCCCGCAGGACAGCGTCCGTCTACATGTTCACGTGCGGTCTGTCTGGATCTGAACACGTGGTGTCATCGTTCGTCGTCTTTGATCCGTGCTCAAGGTTGCCTTCGATCGGTGCTCAAGGTTGAAGAGTAGTTATACGACTGCTCGCAGCATGGCATAGTGATAGACGAAGCAGCAGAGGAGATGCCACGGAGGAGCAGTTTGTCTTCTAGACAAAGAAAGGGCTGCTGAATAGTTTAGTCAAGAAACACATCCTTAAGCTTAAAAATCGTAAAACCAACGAAAGCTCCAAGAAGGCTAAAACCAAAGCGTGGGACAAACTTTGCATCGAGTATAGCTGACAGTCGTATGTCCATCCACAGGACGTTAAACAACTAAAAAAATGTTAGGAGAATGAAAAATCCAGGTGGAATATGTCATCACACGAAAAGCGGGATATACACGCCACGGGTGAGTAAACCATTCATATATTTGGTCAAAATAATGCGGTGTGTGATCAGAGTGGGATGATCAGTCGTGCTGTACCTGTCTGCTGGAGTGGGGGAGCAGATTTCTGCCGACGCTGCAAATCTTCTCAAGAAAGCTACCTTGCCACTCAAACTGGTGCATGTTTTTGAACTGGGGGTCGTTAACGTGCATCACGCAGTAGTGATACATGACTGCACGCCAGTTCAATGCCTTAGCCAGATCGAAGCGGGCAGGTAAAGAATAGACAATTTTTAGAAATAACAGTTTGGTAAAGCTACGATAATGAACGAGCGTGCACACCACGACCACTGGCAAACTTCCACCGAAAGTGCTGTAACGGCTTCTTGTGATTTTGGACAACACGAGAGCATGTTTTCTTGTGTTGTTTTTATAGGCAATAGATGTCTCTCGAAGACCTTGTCAATTTCAGACCTGTAAATTTGATTCGGGTGCTTAGTAAGCTACATCTTTGAAAAAATCCATAAAAAGGCTGTTGTCAATAAATGCATTGAACCTCTATAGCATTTACTTTCACTGCTGCGTGAAGGTAGTACACTCTCCGGCAATATGAAAGACCCACTGGGAGCGCGTGGCCGAGGCGGTGGCTGGCGAGGGCGCTGCGAGCCCTCCGGGCAATTCCATTCTGCTTCGAGGGGAGGACGCTCACTCGGGCTCAGATAAAGCGAAACGCGCTTATCAGTTTGTGCCGAGTGCCGAATGAGCGTCCTCCCCTCGAAGCAGAATGGAACTGCCCGGAGCGCTCGCAGCGCCCCCGCCAGCCACCGCCTCAGCCACGCGCTCCCAGTGGGTCTTTCATATCGCCGGAGGCTGTACCTAGCACGAAGCAGTGGTGCAAACAGAACATTGCTGCTTTTCTGCATTACACTCCTAGTTTAGTGCTGAACACCAAATTTACCGCCCAAGTTGCTGCAAATTTTGTTGTTTTTGCTGTTTGTTGTATTCTGTTTAGCATAGTACATGGATGATCTTAAGATATCTTTTTGTTCCTGCAGCAGGAGGTGGGCCCCGTACGTGCCGACTTATAAGCCCGTTCCAGCAGCTCATAGGTGCACTGGCCTCCCACATGGCGACGTGTCTGCCAAACCCACTCGACGTCGAGCGACGGCAGCAATGGTAACCCGCCAGCGCTTTGTTTAAAGCCATGGTTGCACCAAGTCAAGACGACTGGGATGAGGTGTGGGGTGCCTGAGCTTTTAGTTGCGATTACTTTTGCAAGGTTCCTTCTTATTGCCACTTATGCACTCATGCTTCCATCTGCTTGAATTTTGTCTTTTCTCTGATCTTTCAGGCATTGATACCTGCATGTCTCCTTGTGCGCATAGTGTCATCATAATTTACTGATCTGGTGTTATTTTTGGCTGTATACCTTTTATTTCACAAATCTTATGTACAAACATCCATGAAAGAGCAGGTAGGTTTCTGGGAGGCAGCGACATTTATTAAACCATGTTTACGATACCGTAGCTCCAGCGAGATGAACGCTCGATAGCATGCGGGATGCCCTTTTAATCCCATTGAAGCACATGCGCAATATTGGCTATATCAATTGTCAGTGGCGTGAGGACACGACACAACACTTCTGACTCCCTTAAACTGAACATAGTGCAAAAACTACGATCAAACCTGGAATCTTTCCGGAGTTCAACGATTGCTTGTTGGGTACTGCCTTGTAGAGGTCTGCACGGGACAATGTTTAGAAGCCCGGCCCAGCCCGACCCACTGTCTCATGGGCCTGGGCTCGCCTACGGCCCGTTATCTATTTCTGACAGCTGGCCCAGCCCGGCCCGATGCTAATTTTCACGGGCCTGTTGAGGTCTGCTCTTCTTTACCCAGTATGAATAGCTCTAATTGCACAGCATTGCAACTCGCTTGCCACTGCTACACAGGTTGAGTACACAGTGAAACCCAATTATAACGAACTCTGACACAGTGAATCATTTGCTGTATCGAACACGGAAAAATCTCTGATCGATATTTATGCAAAATATATCTCGCATAACGAACCGGACATTGGGTATATCAAACTTTTGAAGCTCGTGAATATCAGAAAAACGGAGCAAATCTCAGCACCCGCAGAGGAGTCTGGCTTCCTCGCAATGCAGAACCGGTTCGCCTGCTCCTTGCCTCGCATGAACGAACGAGGAAAAGAGAAAAAGAGAGGTCACTTCCTTCGACTCTGGTAGCAAGCGAACAGCTGCAAACGGAGCTGGCGATCTGAGCACCGTGGCCATGCCATCCTTCTCACATCCAGGGCCTATAGCGTGTCATTGCGCAAGCACGTCGTACGTCGTCTTTGCCACTTGTGATTGTTCGGCATGGTTGTGCCAGTTGTGCGTGCAGTGCGCTGGAATAATGACGACGAAGCAGCAGCAAGTGCTGCCGCTTCCTGACAAGGTCGATGTTGTTCGCCATGTCGAGCACGGCGAGAA